AAATATCTAACCTAGCATTAAATTACTTATTTGTCCATTCAACAAGATATTTATAAGGTCACTTGTAAAAAATATAATTACAATTAATTTGAGAAGCTAGTTTTTGTGCTATATAAATACATAAACTTCTGACAAATAAAGGTTAGGTAGAAAAACATAAAAGCTTGCAAGTAATAAACCATATGATTGAGTGAATGGACTTTTTGTGCCAGACAGATTTTAGCTATATAGCTTGTAGAAAATTTTAATATTTTTATTTAGTATTTTTCAATGTACTAAAAGAAAAAAAAAAGTATATAGTCGTTTGTTACTAGTATGCGTTAATTATGATTTCTATTTACCACAAAAATTGTAATTGTTTGATTTCGTGTGATTGCTTGGTAAATAAGTTGATTATTTCGAACGTTCTGTTATTATCGTTGATTCTTTGGTTTTATTACACCAATGTGGATTGCTACGTGACATAGCGGTAAAACTTTTTCGTACATTTGTAATTCGTGATCTAATTAGACAACATCAATCTTGCTTCTTGGGGTCGCTAAGAGAAAAATTCGAGAAAAAAAATCCATTATACAGGAAACTACGGAAAATTACTTGTTCTAATTTATTTGGTCTAAAATATAAGAAATAATAAACTACCTGATTTTTTAATTGTTTTTTATTGGAAATAAAAGAAAACCTTTTCATATATATAGAAACTAGGAGATGTTATGTTCCACACATACAAAGGATAAGAACATTTCCAAGTTGCAACCAAGGAACAATATTTGATTTTGAACTTGAAATTACAAAAAAAATAAAATGATTTGCATGGAAACAAAAGAAAATCTGAATGTGTCTGCCCAAAGGAATGGTCTCCAAATGCAAGCAAAACGGCTACAAAGTAGCAGCCAATATAAATTCAGAATGACAACAAAACAAATAAAACACTGACCCAAAATGAAATTAACCAACCATTTTCACTCATTCCTTACCCCTTTTAGGATGAGATAAGACTATTCTCATTCTGACACGTGGCACCCTTTCTTGTGGCTTAATTAATATATCTAATTATTATTATAGCTCACCCACCCTCCACGCCCAAATTAATGTCATTAAGATGGAGTTATAATTCTACTTAATAGATTCGATAAAATTCTACTTTTGAAATGTGAACAAGGGCATGATCCAATGGTTACAAATGGGTTGGTTAATTTGTGTCCGTTAGATGGGAAAGTTAAGTGAAACCTTATCATTATATATAGAGGGAGAGACTAGAAAGCAATAACCCTCTTGAGTTCAAGATAAGCACTTGG